GAAGAGAATTTGTTACGTCTGCGGATCGTCAGAGCACGTGGCGAGAGACTGCCCTGAACGGAAGCAACCTGCAGTGTCGAAGGCTGACGGAAAATCAACTACGACAACGAACCTCATACAGCGCGCCGTATTTCCAAAACCGTATATGATTACAGTGAAGATAAGTTCGAGCAAGAAGTATGGTAAAGTAGATACCTATGTGATCGACGCGATAATTGATTCAGGCTCACCAATCAGTATTATTCGAGATAGCATTGTCAAAAAAGAAGCTTGTTCCCCGATAGACGAAGATATTAGTCAGTTTTGCGGAATAAACGGTTCGCGACTTGAAGTATTAAATATCTTTTACGGCCAGTTGGAAGTACAAGGCGTGTGTACAACCATAAAATTCTATATTGTACCCGATAACATGATGGCGTATAAAGTACTGTTAGGCAGAGATTTCTTAGCGTGTCCGTCGTTGCGTGCTACTGTCGGAGATACTGTCGGAAATTGAGAATACCGAAGAAGGCGAATATCACACAACGAAATTGAGAATACCGAAGAGGCGAATATCACACAAATAATGCATGTCGGAACTAACGAGAATCTCAATAGTATACGTGATAAGTTATAAATAAACCCCGAGATAGGTCGAGATAAAATTGAAAAGGTTCATGAGATTTTCGAGTCGTGTTATATTCAGAATTTGCAAACGGAGAAATGCAAACCCGATTTTGAAATGAGTATTACGTTGAAACACACTCAACCTATAAGTTCGCGCCCACGCAGACTCTCGTTCGCAGATAAAGAAGCGTTACAGAAAATTTTAGATGAGTTGTCGGAAAAGGAAATTATCCGCCCGAGTAGTTCATCTTATGCGAGCCCGATAGTATTAATCAAAAAGAAAACTGGTGATCTGCGACTGTGTGTCGACTTCCGTGAATTAAATAAAATAACAATTTTTTACGCGATAATTTTCCAACCGAGTTGATTGATGATAACATTGATCGCCTGAGAGGTAAAAAATATTTTTCTATTTTAGATCTGAAAGGTGGATTCCATCATATTAAAATGCATGAGGCATCAATTAAATTCACATCGTTCGTAACGCCGTTGGGACAGTACGAATACTTGCGAATGTCCTTCTATTTGACAAATGCGCCAAGAGTGTTTCAACGCTTTATTCATGCCGTGTTTGAACCTCTTATAAGAAAGCATAAGATACTTTTATATCTAGACGATATTTTAGTAGCAACAGAGAATTTAGACGAACACTTCGAGATCTTATCTGAATTATTCGAACTGGCGAGTAAAAACCGTTTGCAATTTCGGCTGGATAAATGCCACTTCGTTCAAACAGAAATAAAATATCTAAGATATTGTGTTAATAAACACGGGATACGATCGAGCAATGAAAATATCGAATCTATTTTAAATTATCCGATTCCGTGAAACATAAAAGAAGTACATAGATTTTTCGGCCTCGCGAGCTACTTCCGTAGATTTGTCCCTAATTTTTCGTTGTTAGCCAAGCCAAGTTAATTAATATACGAATACTATACAAATTGGTAAAAAAAAACATTACTTTTAGATTCGGTGTAGATGAAAATCGATCGTTTGAAACATTGAAGTGCCATTTAGCCAGTAGACTTGTACTAGCGATTTATTCACCACGAGCAGAGACTGAGCTGCATTGCGACGCGAGTACAAGTGGGTTCGGCGGCATTCTACTCCAGAGGTAAAACGATGGTACGTGGAGACCTGTTTCGTTTTGGAGTCAACGCACCACACCCACCGAGGCTAAGTACCACAGCTTCGAGCTCGAGTGTCTTGCTGTTGTGTACGCTTTAAAGAGATTTCATGTATATCTTGCGGAACAAAAGTTTAAGATAATCACTGATTGCGACAGTTTTCGCCTGACTTTAAATAAAAAAGATGTAAACCCGCGAATATCGAGATGGGCATTGTTTCTACAAAACTATAATTATGAGATAATATACCGACCTGGAAAACGAATGGCTCATGTCACGCTTAGTCGATGCCACAGTGTATTAATACTTGAGGGTAGTACCGCTCGAGCGAACTTTGTCCATTTGCCAGGATCGAGACGAAGATATTTTAACAATCCGCGCTAAACTCGAGAAAGGCGACGTGAAACATTATGAGCTACGCGACGGTCTAGTATACAGAAAAGATAAAAACATAAAACTATTAATTTATGTACCGCGGGGAATGGAATCAAATGTAATTAGAACATGTCACGACGACATTGGACATGTCGGTATCGATAAAGTTATCGGCAATATAGCGACAGTTTATTGGTTCCCAAATATGCGAGCAAAAGTAAAAGAGTACCTATATCAGAAATTGTTTACGTTGCATTGAATTTTCGCTGCCCAGCAGTAAAACAGAAGGCTTCTTGCACAATATTCCGAAAGAGAAATTACCGTTTACGACGATTCATGTGGACTATTTAGGGCCCTTAGAGAAAACCGGGAAAGGATACCGACATTTACTCCTCGTCGTTGACGCATTCACAAAATTCGTTAGATTATACCCTTGTAAGTCAACGACTACACAAGAGTCGATAAATCATTTGCGTGATTACTTCCGTGCGTACAGTCGACCAAGACGACTAATCTCCGATATAGGCAGCTGTTTCAGGTCTGATGCGTTTAAGGAGTTTACGAAAACCGAAGGCGTCGAACACGTCCTTGTAGCTGTAAGCACACCGAGAGCTAACGGTCAAGCAGAGCGGTTTAATAGAGTTATAACACCAATGTTAGCGAAATTGAGCGAAACCCCTGCTAAATGGGATCAAGTTTTAAATAAGGGCGAATACTCACTAAATAATATCGTTTGTCGGGCGACTAATGAAACTCCTTCCCGTTTACTGTTCGGAGTCGAGCAAAAAGGAATAATCTGTGACTCAATACGAGATGTACTCCATACAGATATGGATCGCAATCTCGAACAAGTTCGAGAAAAGGCTCACACGAATATTGAGAAACTATAGCTCGAAATTGCGAAAAAATATAATTTACGAAGAAAACCTGCGCGCAATTATAAAGTAGGTGACTACGTAGAAATCCGGAATGTAGAGACTACGCGGGGTATAAACAAAAAACTATTACCTAAATTTAAGGGACCATATATTGTTAAAAAAGTCTTAGATTATGATCGGTACGTCATTTCTGATATCGAGGGATTCCAGGTAACACAGCGATCGTACACCGGAGTTGTAGCGCCAGATCAGATACAACCTTATATTCATACATAATTTGTATTAAAAAAAAAAACGTTTGCGATATTTTTCATGTAAACAAATATAACAAATGTTTATGTATTTACTTTGTTTGTTTAACCGGGACGGTCAAAATGTCAGAATGGCCGAACTGTAGGCATATTTTCGTTTTCGGCAGATGAGCGTATATAAATTGTCACTCGATCGATTGCGTTCCTGAGTTCTCGTAGCTTCAAGAAGCGACAGGAAATATCCGGCACAGTAACGAACTTCTTCGTTCCCGATGATTGGTCCCGCGGAATCGCCTAATAACACGCGATAGCCTCCCGCTACTCCTCCTCGCGGAACCCCAGCGGGCCCGAGATATGAGCCCGCAGTCTGTTGCGAGATTTCGGAAAAGCTGTACGATGAGTCATCCTTATGAATAAAGTTTTATTGTTTAAACCCACAATAGATCATCCTCCGATCTTGCCTTAGTTGGCTGGATCATATTCCGACCTTGTCTTCGGGTGTCTATCAAGCGACGCGGTAACGGCGCGACGCCAAGTAAAAGTCGAGTGATGACCTGTGAGTATACGGCACTGGCACTGTCGAAGCGTTACCGCTAGCTTTATCTCGAAGTTTTGCCTTGATCAGATTTCCGATTTCAATATCTCGAAACGAAAGTTCTAATAAAAAATCTAATGACACTTTCTTTATATAATGTCGATACGAGCTTTCGATTGAGACCAGTCCGAATGAAATCGGTGCAGTCAATCCCGAGATCTCGAAATCGAGTCTACGAAAAAGCTACTTTGGCGATTACAGTTTTCGTCATATTCTTCTTATTATTCTTATTCAGACAGTCCGCCAAGGCGCATTCACAACGCGAGCGACTGTCGCGACAAGATGCGTTCTTATGTGAGATTACGCACGTAGTTCGAAAACATAACGTGTCCTTATGTGTCATCATTGTAATATATATCCTTGTTGTTTGTGAATAAGA